GGCGAGAGGCTGCGGGACGGAGAGACGGGCTGGTTCCCCGAGGACTTCGTCCAGAGCATCACCAACCGCGTGGCCGTGGAGGGCAACATGCGCAGGATGGAGCGGCTGCGCGTGGAGACGGACGTGTAGCCGGCCACTGCCCTCTTCCCCACTCCCGCCAGCCCGCCCTGCCCTGTGCCCCCACAGCTGGGCCACAGGCGACGCGAGGGGCCCCGAGAACTGTGGGGACGGTGTGACTGTCTACCTCCTGCCCCGCTCGTGCCCGTGTGCGCAGGAGGCCTCGTGCCCGGGGCTACCCCGCCTCCGGAGAGGAGGGTGGGGAGGGAGGGACCGTGTGGCGCCGGCATGTACTGTGACTGTGCTTCCCGGGACATTAAAGTGCTTGTGCAACACCCGGTTTCCACGCACACCTGAGCCGCACCGGCCTCACGAGCCCCCAGGGTGCCGAGGGCGGGGGACTGGCCTGTGTGCGGTCACTGTGCTGGGTCAGTCACTCGCCTGGCCGCCCGCTCACGGCCCCTAAGGCTCATTCTTACCCTCGTCTGTCCAGCCAGAGTCCTGGGCAAGGCCAGTGGGTCTGGGGGCGTGAGGACAGCAGAGCCTGAGAGACGCCCCAGAGGGGACTTGCAGACGGGAGAGGCCGGCAGACCTCAGGGCTGGGGAGGGGGGATTGCCGGCTGCCTGGCCAGGCTCGAGGACCGTCCACTCTCCCAGGAGCCCTACCAGCCCTCCTGTGGCCTCGGCTGGCAGGGCTGTCCTTGGATGGTCTGCTACATCCCACTGGGCACCGGCTTCGGCATCAAAGCCAGGGGTGCAACTGGCCCCTCCTCCTGGGCGCCTCGATAAGATGGCTCAGCACAGACGGTCCCGTGAACAAGGCCCTGGTCGGCTGCGGGCCCAGGCGGGAAGGGCCACCCAGGGGAGGGGCTAGGGGTGGACCTCCGAGCCCGTCCCCTGGGCCAGGACGTTGGAGCCACTGCTCCCAGACCTCCAGGTGACCTCCGTGGCCTTAGAGGAGGGCAGGCCTACAGAGCCCCAGCAGGGCCGTCTGGGCAGACGCCGCCCGGGACGGGGGTGAGGGAGGGGGCAAGGCCAGGGCTAGGAGGGCGTGGCCTGGGGCCGGGTCAGTCAGGCCCTCACTGGCTGGACAGGAGGAAGTGAGAGGCCTTGGTTTTCCCACCTGGGAGCTGGGTGAACGCCCTGCTGTCCCTGGAGTGGTGTGGGCACGCAGGTGTGTGTGCGTGTGCGTGTGTGCGTGCGCGTGCACGTGTGCGTGGTCTCTGGAAGCCAGTGGGCAGCATCCTGTGTGAGCCCAGCTGCCCGTACCCTGGACCAAAAGGGGCCACTCCTCCCACAGACCCCCATGTTCTCTCCACTGAGACCCCAGGAGGGTGGGCCAGCCACTGCCCATCCGCTGCCCGGCCCGGTCCAGGCAATGGAGGAAAGTGACCGTGGAAAGCCTGAGGCCACACCCTCAGTGCCGGGGCCTCGGGCGGGAAA